TACATTTCTAATGTAAAGGAGGTGACATTCGCAGCCTGGTTTTAAATGCTTGTCCAGGGCCATGGAGTAAATGTATGACAGAAATTACAGCAGAATCTCTATTCTGTTACTTACAATAATGAGCTTTAACAACTATTCAGTCTGCCTCCCTCACCTAAACAGGAAATCATAAATGCAGGTGGTTCCAGTTTTCAAATTATACGATCCCAGCCTTCCTCTTTTGTTGTTGTTCATTCATCCTTTTTATGTAACTGTTCCCTGTGAAAAACATGAAGGTCAAGATGACACTGAACTGTATCATTTGGAAGAATTACCAAAATTGTGGATAAAATTTAGCAGATTGCCACCCATTCTCCGATTTTTGGGAGACGAGATGTTAGTAACACGTTAGATAGAACCACCCCCGTGAACTGCACAGCAAATCTGCTGCCTAGGATTGTGTATGCCACAAAGCTGTACAAGGGGGAGCTGTAGATAAATGGCATATTCTTGCTAATAGCAAGGTCAGATAGCAGTGCTGTTGCATTCAATACATTTGGGGGATCCAGTTTATATCACACATTGTCATAATGTTGGTGGCATTATTTCATCAACTTTTATCCCAGTACAATCCAAAGTGTCTCACCTGCAAAGTGTTTTTTGTAGTCAAAAATTTCTTGTGATTGTAGTAAGGTCGTGGCAAATTTATCAGCATTTACTACAAAAAGCACAAAGAAACTAAAATAGAAGATACACCAAGTGCTGTATCTACATTGTCTGTACTGTGCTGTTTTAACTGTGCTGTTAGCATTGCATTTGGAAAAGAAGCAACCCAAAGGCTGTACTAGACCAGAAATTTTGAGAGGATCTGTGTGTCAGTTTGTGCTGGAAACACCTCTGCCATCAAAGGCCCACTCTTATGGTAATTGAATCTTTCAAGAAATCAATAACTTTGTCAGATATTCACTTCAGGGGAAAAGCAACATTTCTGAGAGCATCTGGTGTCATTTCAATATTTTCCCCTTCAGAATAACTTTTCAGTACTGAGCCGTGCAGCGCAGTGCTGATAAGTACTGCACAGACCACATTACAACAGATTCTACATTTCAATAGATCCATAACACACGTCTTTTTCTGAAGTTTCAGTTGCACTCCAAATAACCTACTAAACTTCACAGATCTCTTAAGAGAGCTCTCTCCCTCCAGCATTCACCGTGGGATTTCCTGTTTTTCTGTTTCTCGTGGCTGAGCCAGGAGTTAGGTGGGCAAATCCTGAAAGGAGGACATGGCAGAAAGACTGCGTGTGGGTTTGCTGTGATGGAAGAGAGCTGCAGTTCAGGCTAGAGCTCAAGGCACAGCTTTCACCACACTCGCTCTCAAGCTGCCGCGCTCTCGTCTCTCTTAGCTGCCATCGGTGTGTTTATCAGGCAAAAGTGGGGAAGAGGTGAAAAGCAGCATGTGGAAATGCCAGGTTGCAGCAGGAGTGCTGCTGGGCCTGAGCAGTGCAGGGGCACAGAGGGCAGTTCTCCCATCAACTCAGCGCTCCCAGCATGTGTGCATGCAGCACGGCGCTGGCAGCCTGCTGCTGAGTGTGTCAGAAGCTCTGAAAGAAAGTCTGCAGCTTCAAACAGTCAGAGGCTGTGCTCCAGCAGGGCTGTAGTTAGTCCTCATTTAGTCAACCTCTGCTTTCTCACAGAATCCCCACAGCTCGGTTCAGAACCATCCCCTGCCTTGCACTCAAGCAGCACGCACACAGAGCACACAGAGCTGTGATTAAACCTCGGCGTAGGCCACACTTCTCCTGCCAGCCCTGGTAGAGACATGGGACTTTTGTGATGTTTTAATGAGCTTCAGAAGGAAGATTCTATCTGAGTGAAAGCTGGTCATAATAAAGAAATTAATTTCAAATCATATTCTCTTATGTTTGCATTTCAGAATGAACATAAATATCCAGGAGAACAACAGGCAACGTGAAACAAGATTTGTAAACGTGCTGGTACAAGCTTGTGTGTGAGCCAGTCACAGGTGACCAACGTGGTGACTGACACTACAGTTCAGCTTCTCATGCAGCTTAAACGAGCACTCAGTTCTGCATCCTTTCATGACAAAGTGGCATTTCATCTCACAAGCAGTTAGCTTTAGTTCAATAAGAGACAGAGTTCCTAACAGGAAAAGGCTGAGTAGGATGAGGCCTCAAAAAAAAAAAAAAAGCAAAAAAAAAACAATCCCCCCCCCCCCCAAAAAAAACCAACAGATTAAAAGCATTATTTGAAAAATGAAATATTAATACGGGCAAGGCTTCCAACCAAATGTTTCCTTTGGTATTTGCACAAGAGAATGTTACACCTCTAGTGGCAGTAGGAGTGAATTACTTAATATAGTGACTGGAAAATTCAGACTGCAGTTAAGTAGTTTCCCCATCTTGGATACAGGTACATACAAAAACATATGTCATTTTTGAAAAATGACATCTCAAATTCCCATGTCAGTAATTCACACAGCTCAGAGCCTGAAAGTCAAGCAAAAGACACGAGCAGGCCATTCCAAGTTAAATACTGTAATTCGTCCAAATAAAATGACAGAACAAACTCACACCCAGAATTCGGATGTGCCTATGGCTTCTGCTGATCATCAAACACCTACCCTCAAAGGACAGTCTGTTATAAAAATGCTAAGGTACAGTTCATCCCTTCAGGTACGTGGGAGGGCAAACTGCACGCTACAGCACTGCTGGAAGACACATTATCTTACATTTTGGAGGGAGGTGTAAGGGAAGACTGGTGCACACTGTGACAGTGCAGGGAGCTGTGTCTGTGGACACATATCTCCTCCCAAACCCAGCTGTGTTGACAAAGAGTCCTCCCTCAGTCTGCCCAGGGGCTTGTGAGCATTGCTTTGCAATAGGTTACCACCCTTCTGATCTGGATATACTTGTTCGAACACTCCCTAACCTCTTTCAGTGAATATCGTCTGGGCCAACAAACACTTATTACTTAAAATGTTAGGCCATGCTTGCATAGTCATTTTTCTCCCTTGCAAAGCAAGTTCCAGCTATTTCTGCACCCCAGTCTTTGGCTATGCCCTTCAACCTCAGCATCCCCCACTCCTATAGATCAATGCTCTATTTTCCATATTTTCATAAGCCTAAATTGATAGGCTTGGAATTGGATTGGAATTGGATTGGAATTGGATTCCTTCCATGCTCCCAACTCACCTAACTAAATGCTAAGGTCTACGCTGACAGAACGGAGGATATGGCAAGTGGTTGGAAAAAATGGCCATGGGGTTCCTAGGTCAGATTTGTCCAGAGGAGAAATGTTTACAGAGCCATGGCCCTTTGCATCTGTCCCTGGGAAATGGCAAGATTTATTTTACAATCACGTCACAAACAATCTGAATGTCCTGTCAATGTCACGCTCTGCTGATCCATCAAACCGAGTTGGATCTCCACAATCAAAGCTCTTTATGGCCTGAGCCTTAGTGTAAGTAATTGAAGATGTGGCTGTTGCTGAGTTGTGTATTCCCATATGTGCTTCAGAATTCTCCAAAGGCCTGTTGCTTTTTAAAGCCTTGGAGCTTTCTGAATTTCCAGATCAGAGGTAACTCCAGCCCATATGCCTCCTAGACTCCAATTTCTGTAATATGTTCACCACGTACTGAAGGTTGCATGAACTAAGCACAGATATCTGCTATCAGCAACAACAGTGTCTTGTTCTCTGCTCCCAGCCTTTTAAAAATCCTCTGTCCTGCTGACCTTAATAAAGAAAGAGTTCAATAGCAAAGGTGCATGGTTTCCAGGTATATTCCCAGCAGAACTCCATGCAGGAGCTCAGAACACATCTCAGTTCCATGCTCAAGAAACACAGCGTGTAATGGAAAGAGTCCTTCAGAAAGTAGCTAGGATCAGAAAGAGAAGGACAAATGGTACTTGAGGTCAACTTTTAAAGACAAATCTAAATATCAGCATAGGCATTTGCCAGCAGGACAGCAGAGCCCTCAGTAAGGCTGCCCTGCCTCCACACTGTACAGCTGCACAAAGACTTAATAAGTTGCACACGTGGAACAACTGAGCAGCGGAGGTGTAGAATGGATTGTACTGAGAGCGAAGCCGTTAATAAGATTTGTATAGCAATGCTTTTTATGTTAATCTCTAAAGAGTTTGCTTTTGTAACATTTAACTGATAAGCATATAATCTAGTTTTAATTTAATCTCTGCAGGTGTTTCCCAATGGTAAATGTTAAATTTTTATTGCTTCCTTGGGCAGCAATAATAGGGAAAATCTCTTTAAAGCTCCTACTGTCCATTTGTATGCAGATAGCATCATATTTTATAATAACTGTAAATCTGTCAGGAGAGCCTCTTTCTTTTGAGATGACATTATAAGCGTCAACCCTGAAGTAAACATATTTGGAAGGAAAATGAAGTAGAGATGTTATTAGAGGTCTAATGAAGCAACTGTAACTGCTGATTTCTAAGAGATGTATGCACACATCCTTGAAAGAAGCAGAGCCCACGCTGAGTTTGCAGCTTTTTGCTGAGCAGGACAACGGAGGTTCTCAGCAGGGTCCAACAGACAATACAGAAATAGATCCTACACTTCATAAAGATGATGACTATCTATAAAACCCTCAGTGATTGCTCTCTCTGAGGTTCCTAAATGATTATAAATATCATGGTGTCTAAGAACCAATTATGGCTTCTTTCATATAGCTTCGCAGAACAAAGGATATGTCAAGAACTCCAACATCAATAAGCATAAGTTCAGACACCAAGTACAAAGAAGCAAATCTTGATACCTGTGTGAAGTATATTTGGGCAAAATTCACTCAACGTGAGACCTGAGTGAGAGTTAAATGAATGTTTAGATCTTACACTGGCTTCATTCTCAAGAATGAGCATGCATGAAACCTGCCCTTGTTTAACTTTATTGTTTTAAAGTGAGCTACACTTTAGGCAGTAGTTTTCCCAAATCACTGTATCTACTCTGAAGGAAATACAGCTTTCTGCATGCTGTACTCACCAGGAGAATGTCACAGGGGCCATTAGTGGAGGCACAGAAGTTAAAGGACTTCTACGCTGGAACAGGCTTGCTTCCAAGGCAGCTTGGAGCATGGGCAGTTGAGAGCTTTCAGATGTCTTTGCTCTCCTGTATGGACATGCCTTGAAAGGGATTACACTTTAACAGAGGTTTAGATATTTCCTCAATGGCGCTTTGATATGTGGCTCCCAAGGTCCACATTATTAGTCATAAAAACAAACACTGTAACCCCTGACACAAAGAATACATGCTAGTACATTTAAGTCCCAAGTGACATAGAATGGGAATGCAGCATGCTGCCACTGAGGGGTGGAAATTTCAAAAGTTGCCTCAGAAGCAAGTGGAAAAAAAAGCCAAACTTTTAATGGGTGATTTAAAGGTACGAGAACTGTTTGGACAGTACAGGTTGAACAATTCTTACTTTTATTATAAGTGAGAACATTTAGGCTGCTTTAAAAGGTGGCAGTTTGAATGCAGTATTTTTTTTTTTTTCTTCTGAGAGTCTTTTAAAATGAAACAAATATCTTTTATGATGTTGCCTGTTTTTTGCGTTGTTTTCTTTTATAAGCTGGTATTAACTAGAAAACACTGTCCAGAGAAAGACAAGATAAAAACAACACAATGTGGGTGTGAATGGAAATATTGCAGATAGGTCACCTCATTTCCTGAGGTATTTGAAAGGAGAAGTGGATTTGCAATGCCGTGCCATGGAGAAGGCAACTGTCAAAGAGAACCAAATTCACAGGGGTAATTGGGCATTAATGCTGTTTTTCTCACAACTCAAGAAAATCTCCACAACAAACGAGTTTAGAATCTCACATATAAAGTATTTAAACAGATGGATAATCACCACAGCAACCAAAAACACTTCCAGAGAAGTCATTCAGGAGCATTCCGTATTTGCAGACTCCGGTCTCAGGTTTCTGGCAGCAAGCAGGCAATATTTTATGTAACAAAGACAAGCCAGTGTTTTTAGGTAACTCACAGTGGTTTCCAAGGTGGGTAGAAAATTAAGAGGACCAAACATAAGCTGCAGGAACAGAATTTTTTTTAACTCCTCCAATGACACTTACAGCGATCTGACCAGCTTGTCGCATATTCACTACTGCATCTTATGTCTCTGCTCCTTTGGATCTATATTTCTGACTTCCTCCTCATCCACATATTTTTCTCACTTTTTCCTCCGCCTTACCAGCATTGCAAAAAGGACTGCAGCCTCGGTCTGCCTCTGATCCAGAACACAGTTATTCTGGCAAAAATAACGTAAAACTGAGAAGGAGAAACTGAAAGAAACAATAATCTGACTGTAAAGAACTTCACATAAATCTGTGAGATAATTCTCATCATTGCCATACATGGCAGCAGTCTCTATTTTCCACATCTCAGATGAGCAGCCTACAGACAGCACAAGGCACTCCTTACAATACTCTTTTCAACCATCTGAAGTATTGGTCACTGCTGGCAAGGCAGCAAGAGGCAGGACTGTATCAGTCTGGGTTTGGACATGCTCCACACCAAAAACTCTGCATCAGTGAGTTTATCAAGCAGCTCCGCAGTATTTTTGCATGCATCAGTACTTGTTAAATAGCAGCAGCACATCCATACATTCAATAACGTCCTGTATGAAACACAATCTCTCTCAAGGGCTCGCTATTGCAAAATCGTCAGTGACGTGGGGTGTGTGCTCTCTGATGCATCAGGCACAGCAAACAAGGACGGAACACTGACTCCTACTCAGCTGTACACAGTACACATTTAATTGGAGTCAACACAGGGCTTTTAAGATACCAAAATAACTCAAAACAAAGCCCAGATAGGTGAGTGGAAAAGGAGGAGCCCAGTGTGATTGCTGATTGTCAACAAGCAGTCAGTAAGCGTAAACACCATTGAAAGTGAGACAGTTGTTTTTACTGTTTAAAGTTGAGTGCTGGAAACTCACAGAATCACAGAATGGCCAGGGTGGGAAGGGACCTCGAGGTCCAAACCCGCTGCCACAGGCAGGGCCACCAACCTCCACATTTAATACCAGCCCAGGCTGCTCAGGGCCTCATCCAACCTGGCCTTGAACACCTCCAGGAATGGGGCATCCACAGCCTCTCTGCACAGCTGTTCCAGCACCTCACCACTCTCATAGTGAAGAACTTCCCCCGACATCCAATCTAAACCTTCCCCCCCTCAACTTAAAACCATTTCCTTTCAAAGAGTTGATTCCCCTGCTGTTTATAGGCTCCCTTTATGTACTGAAGGGCTGCAATCAGGTCACTCCACAGCATTCTTTCCTCCAGGCTGAACAAGCCCAGCTCCCTCAGCCTGTCTTCATAGGGGAGGTGCTGCAGCCCCCTGATCATCTTAGTGGATCCAAAATGAGCTCTCAGAGAAGACCAGTCTGTCAATCAGTCTGAAAACAGTGATTCCAGCTTATTTGTAAGCATTTAGAACTACTACTTCTAGCTGATTGAAAGTTGTTCAGACACAAAATAAACTAGTTTTCACTGCACAGACTTCCAGAAATCGACAGGATTATAATTCCTACATATATTTCAACTGTAGTATTAAGTAATTTGTGGCTATGAAACTTCCTAATGAACTACGAGCAACGATGAGACCTGCAGAAGGATTTGGTAAAAGATGAGCATTAATGCATCTTGGCTGAACGGCAAAAGGAATAGTTTTCTTTTACTCCGCCTTTCACGACTTTTAACAGACAAAATACGTTGCTTTCTGTCCTGCATTGCTTCGGACACGAAATGCCAATGGCTGCTGTTTGTTTCATGCAGAATTGCAAGTCGTTTCACTCTGCTAATGGGTAAAAGATTTTGCAGCCCTACTGGCTTGGAAGGCTTAATTATAAATCTTAATTATTCACCCGGCCCGTAATAAAAGCGCCGCAGTGTCCATCTTACAGCTGCTAGTGGCCTCGCACACTGACTGTGGGGCTGGATTTTTCGCACAATGCAGTGCTAAGAAGCCCAAGGCAGAATAAAAACAAAGGCGATAACGGACAGTGCGCAAAAGGAGCCGAAGTCCACAAACAGCTTAACAAAAATGAGGCCGCTAAGTAAATAAGAGGAACACGGAACAAACGCAACTGCAGAGCAGCTCACAGGATCCACGCGTCGCTTCAGGCGTACTGCTGGACGACGGCCTGAGGGCACTGGCCAGCCGGGGGGAAGGAAAAACACCCCGAAAGCGCCCGCAGAACGGCCCACAGCGACCGCTCCCTGCCGACGGACCGGCCGACATGGCGGCGGGAGGCGGGAGCGAAGCGGCGGGGGCGGGGCTCGCTGACGTCTCGCGATGGCTGGAGGCAAGAGGGAGCCTGCCGCCATCCCGGCAGCCATAGCGACGACGCTACCCGCAGTGACGGGAGCAGGCGGGGGGGCGCCGCACAAAGGGGGCGCCGGGCGAGCCCGCAGCCAGCGGCCCCGAGCGGTGAGTGCGGGGAGGGGGGCGCCGCGCGACGCCGCCGGGGCGGGACAGGAACGCCGCCTCCTGCCCGCTTCCCTTACCGGCACGGAGCGCCGCCGGACCCGGCGAGGCCTCGCTGCCAGGCCTCAATGCCCAGCGCGGGCAGCGGGCCGGGCCAGGACGGGCTGTGAGGGGCGGCGGGGACGGCGCGCTGTGCCGGGCGGAGCGGGGCCGGGCTGTCGGAGCCCCGCCGCCGCCTCGATCTCCGCTCCCGAATAACAAAGGGGATACGTAGAGCGTGTGCCGTCGCTCCTGTTTCTCTGCCTTCAGTAGGTGCGTCTTAAGAGCCCAATTAGAGCGGCTTCTTTCCCGTGTTTCTCTCAAGGAAGAGCGTTTCCCGCAGTGAATCGGTGCCGTCCTGACATTTGATCTGTGCAGCTGAACCTGGGGATGAAAGGCCGTGTAGCGCCGTGTGAGTGCGAGGGCCGGGGCACAGCGCCCTTGTGCCCCCATAGCGCCCTGTGGAGGGAGCAGCAGCTGAGCCCGGCTGGGATTCCACGTGTCCCTGCTGCTGCACGCCCCTCAGGTGTGTTCGAACAAAGCTGCTGTTGTCACCTTGTCGGCGTCTGAAAAAGTCAAGGAAAAATAACTGGGCTGTGTTCTGGGTTGCGTTAAAAAAGGGGTGGCCAGCAGGAAGAGGGGGGTGATTGTCCCCTTCTATTCAGCTCTTGTGAGGCCCCATCTGCAGCGCTGCGTCCAGACACGGGGCTCCCAGCACAGGAAGGACGTGGAGCTCTTGGAGCGGGTTCAGAGGAGGGCACTAAGATGATCAGGGGCTGGAGCAGCTCTCCTGTGAGGAAAGGTTGACAGAACTGGGCTTGTTTAGCTTGGAGAAGGGAAGGCTTTGGGGAGACTTCATTGTGGCCTTCCAGAACTTGAAGGGAGCGTATTACAGGAGGGAGAATGGCTGTTTACGAGGCTGAATAGTGACAGGACAAGGGAGAGTGGTTTTAAACTGAGATGAGGACGTTTAGGTTAGATATTAGGAGGAAGTTTTTCACTCAGAGGGTGGTGATGCACTGGAACAGGTTGTACAAGGAGGCTGTGGATGCCCCATCCCTGGAGGCATTCAGGGCGAGGCTGGATGTGGCTCTGGGCAGCCTGGTCTGCTGGTTGGCAACCCTGCACACAGCAGGGGGTTGGAACTAGATGATTATTGTGGTCCTTTTCAACACAGACCATTCTGTGATTCTATGATGAAAGGTGTGGATCAAGCAAGTTGTGCTGTTGGTTCTAATAAGTGACCTCCTCTGAGAGTCTTCTGATTTCCAGCATCCTGAGGACAGTTCAGTGATGCTCTCATCGCTCTGTGCAGTAGCAGAGGGTTTGACAAGTCTCAGAGTGGTTCTGCCAGTTCTGATGTCACTGTCCACCCACTTCAGTGCTTTGCAGAATATGTGCCCTCGTAGGTCAGCAAACTGAAGTGAGGTTAACCAGCTTGCTCAAGGTCACAGGGTCAGTGACAGAGCTGGCAATAATGGAACGCAGCCATCCCCACCGCTGGCTCTGTGCTCATCACTGGATGACTCTCCCACATAATTGCAGGTAGTTTAAACATTGCGTTGCGTAAGTCTGTTTTGAGGCCTTCACATGCTTTTGGAAAGATGAAACGTTAATAGATCTGCTTCTTGTGCTCTGTTTGCATGGAGCTCACGCTGAAGCTTAAAATTCTCCTGGCACTGGGAGAAATTTCGAGGTCTTCATGGCTTATTTTGTGAATATGTGCTCAAAAGTCATCTGTACCTCAGTTGTGTGTTTGTTAAGTAAATGGTGTGGAAAAGCTCTTGTGTAGCTTTAGAGGGTAGATGATGGGATAGAACAGACATAGATTACACCTTAATTACAGTTTTTAAAA